ACTCTAGGTGTATAGCCTAGTGGGCTTCAGAGTCAGGGACAGCCAGCTACACAGTTTGCTTCACCAACAGAGCAGGTGTCCTAGTGGTTTGCCTCGCCAGTGATAGCCGATGGTCCACACTTCACACCTATTATTACGGGCTTCACACTGGCTCAGAGCTTCTCAGTGCTTGTGACTGACACCCCAGTATCTAGGAGTCTTGGTGCGACATTCAGCGAGTTGACAGGGCAGCCTACACCGCCAGAGCTACGTGTCCCTACTCCCACTACAGTTGCTCCAGTTACTAGGACTACAGAGACGCTCCCTTCATCTGTTGCATCATCAGACCCAGCTGCTACAGTGATACCTGCCGAGTCACAGGCTGCGCTAGTTCTAGAGCAGACCCAGACTGCTTCAGCTTCACTTCCAGCAACAGAGGGTCAGACAGCTTAGAGCTCTGGATCAGAGGATGATGCTACACAGTTTCAGATCACTCACCGCACCTCAGCGCTCGACTCGTCTGCTCCTGCCCCACCGACTGACCCTTAGGTTTTGGTGCTTGATGCCAAAGGGGGAGAGGGATCGAGTATGTTAGATCTAGGAGGAGCTTAGCTTAAGATTTATTACTTTTGGTTTTTATGTGTGATACATTATTATGCATTCATGTTTATTTTCATGCATTAAACTATATACGTATGAGTGTGATACTTATGTGATATGTGACATGTGTACTCTCTACTTGATCTATTTATATGTCATGTCACTTGGTTATGCTCATTTGCTTTGCTTTCGTGTTTTACTCTGATTCAAATGAGCTTTATTTCTTGTACTCATGCTTATTTCATATCTATTGAGTACACCATGTTGGCTTGGGTCATATAAGCATGTCCAATTCCTTTGCTCTTATTGTTAAAAGCTTATATGAACCAAGCATGTTGAAAACCTCATCTCTTTTACATACTCGAGGTTGTATTGTCATCAATCACCAAAAAAAGAGAGATTAAAAACATCTAGGCCTCTAGTTAGGTTTCGGTGATTAATGATAATACGAGATTACTATGACTAACGTGTGCATCCACCCTCCTCATTAGGCTTGTTGTGGTCAAGTAAGAGTTCGTGCTTGTTACCCTTGGTAATCGCCATCACCTAGACGGCTTGGTGGTGATCGGGAGTTTGGTGATCATCCGGCGGAGCTTGTGGATGACCCAACTCAAGTTGTGAGCGGCTATGGGCGATTCACCGTGACGGAGTATCGAAGAATCAGCCCGTAGAGAGCACTTGATCCTTGCGCGGATCAAGGGGGAGCTACACCCTTGCGCGGGTGCTCCAACGAGGACTAGTGAGGAGTAGCGACTCACCGATACCTCGGCAAAATATCACCGCGTTCCTTCTTCTCTCTTTACTTTAAGCATTTATATTTGAGCAATTCATTTCTTGTCTTTACATTATTAGAATTACCATGCTAGAGCAGTATTGAAACATAGGGTGCAAAACTTTTATGCGGTAGAACACTAGGAACATATTCTAGGCACAAGGGGTAAAGTGGGCTAAGTGTAGGGTTTAGTTATTACAAAGAATTTTAGAATTAGCTTAATTCACCATCCCTCTTGAGCATCTTGATCATTTCATTGGTTCTAGCTTCTCCGTGTATTGTAGCGAGGAATCGGAGATGTTTGTTGATGTGTCAAACGAGATTATATTGCTAATAAAAAATTATACTGAACTGGACCATCCTAGATTAAAATCCTGGCTATGCCACTGTGCAGAGGGTATCAAGGAAAGCATAAACTCACTATGACCATATGCTGAAAATTGTGTGGTGTTGTATTTGCATGTTCACCTGGTGGACATAGTTAACCGAGCGCTAAGCAATTCTTTATACCTGAGACACGTGAAGGGTGGATCAAGCACATGATGGAAACATATTCTCGAAAAGAAACAATAACTAAAGAGAGAGCCGTCATGGGCCGAAATCACATTTGTATGTGCCAGAAACGAAAAAGTCCACATTACCTCCCTTAACTTTCGCGAAAGTTTGTTTTTTCCTCCCTGAACTCCAAAACCGAACAAAACACCTCCCTCAACTTTTAAAACCGTTCATCTTATCTCCCTGGCCCGGTTCTAAACGGTTTTGAAGGTGATTTTGTCTTTTTGTTTTTTATTTATTTCGGCTGAATTTTTGAAAAATCATAGTAAATCACAGGAAAATCATAAAATAGAAAATCTAATTTTTTTGGACTCCACATGAGTAGATCTACACAGTGAATATATAATATGATATACTTTAGCACAAAGTTTTTGTTGTAGCTTTAGATTTACGCTTTTCTGTAATTAAATAGAATAATTTATAGCTACAGTTTCTATGATCTAATTTTGGTGAAATTTTTATGGTGGGCTAATTATTGTATGCTTAAACTGTAGTAAAAATTTCATACTCATTGGATCATGTATAATTTAGTTATAGATTTTATTTAGGTTTATGCTTGTTAAATATAAATAAATCTATAACTAAGCTATATATGATTCAATGAGTATAAAATTTTTACTACAGTTCGATCATACAATAATTAGCTCACCATGAAAATTTCATCACAATGGGACCATAGAAACTGCATCTATGAATTATTCCAATTAATTACAGAAAAGGATAGATCTAAAACCACAACAAAAACTCTGTACAAAAGCATACCATATTATATGTTTACTATATAGATCTACTCATGTGGAGTCCAAAAAATTGGATTTTCCATTTTATGATTTTTCTGTGATTTACTATGATTTTTCAAAGATTTAACCGAAATAAATAAAAAAGATAAAGATAAAACCACCTTCAAAACTGCTTATAACATAGTCAGGAAGGTAAGATGAACATTTGTAAAAGTTGAGGGAGGTGTTTTGCCCGATTTTGAAATTCAGGGAGGAAAAACGGACTTTCGCGAAAGTTGAGGTAGGTAATGTGGACTTTTTCCGGCCAGAAACGACTAACCGGACCGAACGAACAACAGCGGAAACAAGTTTCAAGTTGGTAACAGAATGTGAAAACACTGTTCAATCCATGGACCCCATTCTTAATTTGCCTTAAACCATGACCATGCACCTTAGACAAATGCAAATTTAATATGTGCTTTCTGAATCTATTGAAACATGATGTTCCTTCCTTTTGCAAATATGTTCCTTTTGCAAATATTTCCCTGTGGTAGTATCTGTAAGAAACCTTCTTGTGCTTTTGCAGGGTGGAGTTATGGCAACTCATGATGAAGAAACTCGGAAGTTTTTCAAACATTCCTCAGTCATCTGTGTTCTGTCTCCTCGATATGCTAGCAATAAGCTGAGCATTTTCAAATAGCAGGCAAGTTTTGGGTAGGAATTTATGGTTCACTTTCTTTGTATGGGTTACATCTACGGCTCGTTTGGATAGGGGTAGGGATAAGGAATGGGATACACAAAATTATATCCTAATCATCCATTCTTTACGTTTTATTTAATCCTGGCCGTTCATCAATTTAGTAATTTAGTAATTTGGTGAGCACTTGTTAAATTTGCCCTGCAACTCGGAATTTAAATACAAAATAACAAAATAAGTCTTAAATTCGACAAAGAAGTTCCAATAGAAAAAGTTCAAATACCATGCTAATAGTTGGAAATATGTATAAAAAACATAGACACCAAATAAATTTACAACAATTGAACTAATTTTGAGGATAAATTGGTGTATTACCAAATAAAAAATAGGTTAGGTTACTAGTGGTAGACGTACTAGTGTAGATGTAGTGCTGAGCTAGTGCGATGCTAGCTACTCCAGTCATCATATGATGCTTTTGCTAGGGGGTTATATTAGCTAGGCAGTCTGGAGGTGACATCCGTGTTGTTTCTATTATTTAACGTCACATCATCCATCCATCCATCCATAACGACAGCGAGAGGAGAGAGCACGCGAGCTAGAGTCAGAGACAGAAAGTGTGGGTACTACTACTGGCACTGGACAGGTCTGGCGCATCGTGCACCCACTGTTTGGGACTTAGGCCCCGTTAGGCTTGCTGAAACTTTGCTGAATTGGCTGAAAAACACTGTTTTAACTGAATTATTGTGAGAGAAAAACACTGCTCCAGCTAAAAAAGCAAGCTGAATAATGCGGATTATAAGGTAAGCCGAACGGGACCTTTACTGGCACCGTTCGCTTTTCATGTCAGGTCCTGAGCTCGCCGTACATGCAGGCACGGCAGCCGACACAAGCGGGCAGGCGTACCTGGCTCTGCCGTGCCACCGATCTTGGCGCGGCTCTGTCGTGCCCTGATCTGTGGCGCAGCAGGCCCTGCCACGTCACCGGTCAGCCTCCCCGTCTTCGCCATGTCATCCTCCCGCCGCGTCACCATGCACTACGCCATGGCAATAGGCGCGACCAAATATGTTAGTTTTGGAAATAAAAAAACAAACAGTGTTAGATTTAAAATTAGTTTAAAAAAGTGTTAAAAAATTCAAACAGGTATCACGTCTAAATCAACAAGCAAGCTAACGACTTTAACAAACCGCCAGGTAAAACTACTGGCCAAAGACACATGCCTAACTAAGAAGGACAGCTTCTTCCCTACAGCAAACAACTTCTTCAGCTCTGCCCAAACTGATCCATCAGTTTATGACGAATTTTATTAAGACAAATGTTACCAGTGACGGCACATATTTTATGATGAACTTTACATAATACTCCCTTCGAACAAAATTATAGGTCGTTTGGGATGCCGGGGGGAGTAATCTAGGTGCATAGCATAAACCAAAATGACGTAAAATTTAAGACGGACGGAGTAACAGATATGGTTTTATTGGCGTGACAAGACACCGCAGACTATGGTTTTTAACAAAGTTATACAAACGAATTGTATACAATAATTTATTTCCGGTAAGATGATTAGATGAAGTCCATGTTTTCCCTCCATCATCACCGAAGATGAATGCCCACCATGGGTGGTATGATCTCCAACCAGCAATACCGATAAAATGAGTTGACATTGGCATTCTGCAGTGGCTCATGCTTTGCTCGCAAAGGTGAATCCAGTCCCTTGCAATGCATCCTCGACAATCTTGTCTAGCCTCTGTGCCATCTCCGGCGTCATGTGATTGCTCCAGTCCCCAGCAACTCCCATCCTGAAGAAGCTTTCGTTCTTGACCCCCATCCTAGTGCTTCCATTTCTGTTCACCTCCATGTCCCTCAGCTTGGCCAGGCTACACAGCTCCACGATGACGCTCACAACCCCGCCCTCCTCCTCCTCCTCGGAAAATTCACAGCCCATGAACCTAGCTAGCTTCTTGACGTGACTCTCCGGCGCAAGGAGCATCTCCTCGTACCTAAGGAACAACACCCTGCTGTCTGGTCTCCTCACGCTCTCCTCCCAGTACTGGAGGACATGTTGCCATTGGGGGCCATCAGGACAGCGGCCTTGGCAGAATAGCTCGAATGCCTCCTGGATCGTGAATGACTGCGCATCAACTCCCCACGCCGGCGACGCCTTCCTCGTGAACAACCAGTAAGAAACCAGAGCATCCTTGGGTTCCCGGCAGATGTATACGATCCGGCACCCTGAGCGCTCACCTGTGATGCTGTTGGGTAGCAGGGAGTAGGGAAGGTGCGTAGCTAACACACGGGGGGGAGGAAGCGCGTCAAACTCATTCCCTGTGTTCATACCAATTTCGAGGAACTTGACGCAGTCATGAGGGCCGCAATGGCGCAGCGGATGGTCGTCGTTGCACGGCGGATGTGTGGAACGCTTCAGCGTTGCGAAGGCTAGGGCCTTAAGCCAAGTGGTTCCAGACTTGGGGAAGCTTGCAAGGAACACGTCGGTGGGTCTCGGCTGGAACCTGGAATGGACGTTCGGGACGCCTATCTTCAATGTTACCTCTGGCACCCAGAAGCCAGCGTAATGGCGGAGCCGGAACGGTGGCCACCTGATCTCCAGGGGCAGCGAAGGGATGATCTTGGCTACGTTGGCGTGATGCATTGTCACCGGCGTTGCACCTTCTTGTGCATCGTCCTCCGACTGCCTGAAAGCCATCGTGTTACTGGCCTAGTGCTGTATCTCAAAACAGACGTCACCTCCAGTTGCTTGTTGCAGCCTGCATATGGAGACGAGGGTGCACAAAACGGATGTAATCAGAAAACCTGATCTCAGCTTAAAACAGATAACAGCAAGATGTTAACTGAGATATAAAAGAGCAACGGAGGCACACATAATCATCACCATCTGATCAGACATGATTCAATGAACATTACCACTGAAATCGATTGCATTGCAAGTCACCTAACAGTGGAGCAATACTACAGGTCCAAGTCACATTAAGAAGTACCCAGAAAGAAACAAGGCTGCACTCCGAACTGCTCAGGAAGGATCCTATCCTAGGATATAAAGCTTCAAAGGTGTTCGGAAATTTAGCACAACACTAGTTCTTGCAAAAGATTGAATTATTGCTCCAAAGTCCGAAGTACGCAAGCCGGCTCAAATGAAAGGCCAAGCGTCAAGCAGAGCAGTGAGCTGTAGTTCTGGCAATTTCTCGGCAACCCAACACTGTCCATTTGATTCAACCTTTGCAAAAACTAGCATATATATAGTGCAAACACAAGAATAGAAATCTTAATCTGCAAATACGTCTATAAAAGCATGTCCTAGCTGTGGGTACAAAATCACTTCACTGTAAAATACTGTTTGACATTCAGCCTAAAAGCTTATCTGGAACTTTAACAAATAGACTCTTAATTTTTTTTTAAACAATGGCAGGAGCTCTGTCGCTCAATTAAGACGAAAGAATATTATGTATCAGAAGATTAGTCAGACGAGATGCCAAAACGCATCCGAAGGGCTAACCAACCCACACGACGCAGCTGAGCACAAACACAACACACTACCATGGGTCATCGTTGCCGAACTTGGCAGCAAAGCTGCCAGCAACTCCGACTTCCCATGGCAAGCCACCCACTAGCCATCCACGGACGGGCCGCCACCTGTCATCATTACCAAGCTCAAACACCCCACGAAGAGCAGCTCCGACTTCCAATCAAGGACCCGCACAGTGCTAGAGGGAAAGCACGACGCCCCCAACAGGGAAGCGGCGCCACTGGCGTCGCCGTCGCCAAGGCTTTCGCCCAAGAACCCTCTAGCACAAACATCAGGCCGAGAAGCTCGGACCCCTGCCAACCAGCACCGCCATCGCCGTTGTCCCACCGCCCCACAGAAGCCCATTCGGAGAAGGGCATCGACGCTGCCGGCCGCACGCAGTGCCGCCAGCAATTCGTCGGCGCCGCCACCCTCCGAACAAGCCACGTAGAGCTGGACTGACTCAGGCTGCTTCGCGAATACCGCCGCCGCACGTCGAGGCCATCAACGACCACCGTCGCGGCTCGCACCCACCGCCGTCGCTGCCGACAACGCCGCCAACAGCCGGAGGCGATGCCCCCCACCATCACGGGCGCCGCGCTTGCCTCGGGGCACCGGATCCAGCGCTCCATGCCGACGCCGCTGCCGAGCCACCGCCGCGGACAGCAACTCCAATCAAGCCGCCACCCGGCCGCTTGCCGACCGCACGCCAGACCAGCCGGCGAAGCGCCGCGCCTTGCAGGAGCACGGGCTCGCATCTCGCCGCCCGACGCGCCACCGGCCAAGACGCCACAGCCCGCGAGCGACGACACGAGAGCGCCGCCCGGTCCGCAGCCGAAGCCCCACTCCAAGACGTCACCACCGATGGCTACAGCCAACTCCACACGCGGGAAGATAGATTCGGCGAGGGGGGGGGTCAGATCCGTATCGCGCCAGCAGGATCCCGGACGCCGCTGCTGCTGCACGCACGGGACCGGAGAGAGAGATAGAGAGGAGGAGGAGGAGGAGGGAGGAGAAAGAACCCCCAGCCGCCGCCATCCTTGCCTTCCGCCGGCCTCCGGCGTCGAGCTCCGGCGGCGGCCAGGCAGTGGAGGCGTGGGGGCGGGGCCTAGCGGCGGCGGGAGGAAGCGACGCCCGAGTCGCCCTCGAGGAGAGAGCAACGCGGGGGCCGAACCTTGGTTGACCAGACTGCATCAAAACCCAGCTATGAACTAATAGCGTTGACGAGGCCTAGGCTGAGCCGATCGTTACAGGAACTGCATCAATAGCATGTTCGTTTCGTCGTAAACGATCATAGATTATTTACCGTTGGCTGATTTGGTGTGAGAAAAAAATACTACTCCAACTTATAATTCATGATCGTATATGAGCAAGCGAAACATGCTAGTGTCTCCGGCTTCCAATTGGCAAACCTCCCCCAGGTAGAAATGCGGGAGAGATGAGAATGACAATAAGGGGGAACGGGAAGGATTCTGCGCACCTGGCGAGAACACACACGCCGCGACGACGTGGAGGCAGGGCCTGTCGCCGGCCGGCGAACTTCCCGCGTTTCTCCAGATGCAGCTGCAACTGCAAACCCGCAATGCTTGGAGACAGAACAGGGGGCTGGCCTGCTGAGGGCGTCGGCGGCCGCGGAGAGGTCCTCGTCCTCGCGGTCTGCGTGCTGCAATATTGTACTCGCCGCCCCCGGCCACGCTCTCTTTTTCTATTCTGCCCGTCAGGCCCAATTGGGAATCCGCGCACGCCATGAATTTATTCTTTGGTTTCATTTGGTTTGCTTCTTTTTCTTTCTTCTCTTTTTAATTATAAATGTTTTTTTTACTTATTCTTTCGTGGAATACTCGTTTTGGCCAACTGCATGAATTTTACATAGTATAATGCATACTGTTTTTGTGCGACAAGATGCCACAAACTATGATTTGCAACAAAGTTATTATTATACAAATGATTTGTACATAAAGTAACTCCCGGCAGGATGGAGTCCATATTTTCCAACAATCACTCTGAAGCACAATGCTCACCATAGGTGGTATGGTATCTGCGACCAGCAAGCAGCAATACTGACCAAACTAGTTTTTTTCGAAGGGACGGCAAAAACTTTGCCGCGGTTTTTATTAGACGGAGAAAATAAAAATACAAGTGTTCGGCTCAGTTTTTTGAGTGGAAACCGGGCCCAAAAATCACCAACCGGGAGAGTGCACCACTCATCCCGACCAACTTTAGAAACACCGCCCGAACACCTAACGACTTTGCCCCACTACTTGCTCAAACCTGAGCCAACTTGGTCGAAAACGGCCTAACTAGCAACACAACTGCACTGGCAAATATCTAACAACTAAAGCAACTAAGAACATCTCAACCCTAGAACCAACTTGCCAAAACAACTATCACTACTAAACAACACCGAGTTCCGATGAATACTTCCATCAAACCACTAACTGCTCTTGAATATTTTCCTATCACCCTTTGGTTAGCTTGCCAGTCCCAGGCCACCGATGCCCAGGATGAGATGCAAAGGTGAATCCAGTCCCTTGTAATGCATCCTCGATAACCTTGTCTATCCTCTGCGCCATCTCTCGCTTCATGTGATTGCTCCGGTCCCCAGAAATCCCCTTCCTGAAGCTTTCATTCTTGATTCCCCACCTAGAGCTTCTGTTTCTGTTCACCTCCACGTCCTTCAACTTGCCCAGGCTACACAGCTCCACGATGGCATTCACCACCCCTCCCTCCTCCTCTTTCTCGGAAAACTCACAACCCATGAACTTTGCTAGCTTCTTGACCTGACTCTCTGGCTCAAGTAGCATCTCCTCGTATCTAAGGAACAGTACCCTGTCAGGCCTCCTCACACTCTCCTCCCAGTACTGGAGGACATGCTGCCATTGAGGGCCACCTGGACAACGGCCTTCACAGAACAGCTCCAAAGCCTCCTGGATCGTGAAGTCAACTCCAGGCGCCAACTTCCTCGTGAACAACCAGAAGGAGACTAGAGCGTCCTTGGGTTCCCGGCAGATGTACATAATCCGACACCCTGAGTGCTCCCCGGTGATGCAGTTAGGCACTAAGGAGTAGGGAAGGTGTGTGGCCAGCACACGCGGGGAAGGGAGCGCTTCAAACTCGTCCCTTGTGTTGAATTCAATTTCGAGGAACCTGACGATGCCGTGGGGGCTGCAATGTCGCAGTGGATGATCACCATCAAACGGCAGATGTGAGGACCGCTTGAGCGTTGCAAAGACGAGGGCCTTGAGCCAAGTGGTGCCAGACTTGGGGAAGCTTGCAAGGAATACGTCAGTGGGCCTTGGCTCGAAGCACGAATGGACGAATGGAAAGCCTGTCTTCAATGTTACCTCGACCAGCCAAAAGCTAGCATACTGGCGAACCGAGAGCGTTGGCCACCTGGTCTCGAGGGGCAATGAATGGATGATCCTGGCTATGTTGGTGTGAGGAGTCATCAACAGTGTTGCTCCTTCTTGTGCATTGTTCTCTGAGTGCCTGGAAACCATCATCCTATTGGTGAATCTCAAAAGTGAGGTCACTGGTGCTGTGTGTCCAGTCCAGTTGTTTGCTGCAGCCTGCATGTGGACGAGGGTGCACAAAAAGGATTGCATTAGGAAAACCTTATCTCAATTTTAGGTAACAGAGAAACCAAGTTAAACTAAAAGACGATGGTACACAAGTTATCATCTGATTAGGAATCATTCAATGACATCACCAAATAAATTGATTGCATTGCAAAACAGTGGAGTAATACTACATCTCCAAGTCACATTAAGAGGAACCCGGGAAAAAGGACAACTACAAAGTGCTCAGGCTTTAAAGGTGTTCAGAAGTTGTGCACAATACTAATTTTGCTAAAGATGGATTTTTGCTCCAAGTTAAGACAAGCCGACTCAAGCCTTCTGAGCTAGATTTCTTAACCTGTCTGAGCAGTTTGTCATAAGGCACAAATATCATTCACGTGAGCTACCAATCTGAACTTGTTTCAAGTAAGATGTATATAGCTTGGCAGCAATTTTTGTAATTGGCAGTGGGCACAACCAAAATCCTAATTGTTAACCTCCTGTAAATATTGCTTTAGCTATCTACTTGATGAAGCAGCAGAGCACCTGGCCATTCGGCTAAAAATCCTAATTGTCGTGCTCAACGTCAAATGAAGAACAGAATAAAGTGAATTGGCTCTGGTAACTTCTCACACCCCAACTGTCCATCGGAACCAGAATATAGGGACTAGTACAATTACTGCTTGCAAGCAGTTAAACAGCTAATGAGATACTATAACTATGCCTGCTATTCCATTCACTGACTTAACTCCAATTCAGAATAATACGTTCAACCAGTAACCTCTATGTTTGTTCCTTTGTCACTACTTAATTTTATTCTATACTATTCCCCATACTTGAAACCTTCTATTGTTATTTGGGGAAAAAACTTCTATTCTTGTATGTATCTTCCACTAAATAGAAAAGGATCAGCAGTACCCCATAATTGTGACTATTTGTTGGCCCAAATAGATATCAGATTCAGATTTGGGAACTAACAAAGGGCGACTTGGCCCTTGGCCGCTTGGATTGAAATGAAATGCAATGGCTTATTTTTTACAATGACACTCCCTTGCCCTTTATAGGCAAAGGGGACTCCCACTTGCTACAGCATATTCTAACCACTAAAGTGGATGCTGAGCATATTCCTAACACTAGGCTTGGAAGCCAAGAAAAGTAAAAGTACAGGAAAAGTAAGATATAAGTGCTTTAGCACTAGGCTTATCTATCAATTCTCCCCCTAAGCCTTGTGCCGAGCACTGGAGGTGATCTGTTGTAGCCCAATCCTCTCCCTCATCTCCTGGAACTTGGACTTCCCCAGCAACTTGGTGAGAATGTCAGCCAGCTGATCAGCAGTGGCAATGTGGCTGGCCTTGATGCTCCTGTCCTCCAAGCAATCTCTGATAAAGTGGTACTTGATGCGGATTTGCTTGCTTCTCTCATGGAAGACAAGGTTCTTGGCTAGAGCTACAGCAGACTTGCTGTACACCTTCAGCTCAATCACATCCACCTTCCTGCCAAGGAGCTATGTCAGCATCCTTGACAGCCATAGTGCCTGAGTTGCTGCAGTGGTGGTGGCGATGTACTTCGCTTCACAGCTTGAGAGGGCCATCACCTTCTACTTGAGGGTCTGCCAGCTGACAAAGCAATCTCCAAGGAAGAACATCGTCCCATTTGTGCTCTTGTTGGTATCCACATCGCCGGTGAGGTCGCTGTCGCAGTAGCCGATGAACCGCGCCGTGTCGGGGGCCCTTCCATAGTGGAGACCATAGTCGAGGGTGCCCGCCATGTAGCGCAGGATTCGCTTGACGACCTGCAGATGCTGCATCATCGGCCACTCCATGAATAGGCGCATGTACCCGACGACGAACGCGATGTCCGGCCAGGTATGGACTAGGTAGCGCAAGCTCTCGATCAGCCGCCAGTAATGTGTTGGATCGACCTCCTTCACCATGCATTCCTGACTCAGCTTGAGCTTCTCCTCCATCGGGGTGTGGGCCGAATTGCAGCCTGTCATGCCATCGAGCTCGAGGATGTGCTTGGCGTAGTGGGTTTGGCGGAGGGTGATCCCGCTGGCATCTTGGCGCACTTTGACGCCGAGGTAGAAGTGGAGGAGGCCGAGGTCGCTCGTGTTGAACGCCTTCTTCACCTGCGCCTTGAACACCTCCACCTTCTGCTCTTCAGCTCCGGTGATGATGAGGTCGTCGACGTAGATGCCAACCAGTAAAACGTTGCGTCCACTGCCCCGCCGATACACCGTCACCTCATGCGCGCTCTGCTTGAAGCCCATATTCTTGAGTGTGGCATCGAGCTTCATGTTCCAGGCGCGCGGTGCCTAGCGCAGGCCATAGAGTGCCTTGCGCAGGTGGTACACCTTTCCCTCTTCTCCGGTGATGGCATAGCCAGGTGGCTGGCGCACGTAGACCTCCTCCTTGAGGTCATCATTGAGGAAGGCGGACTTCATGTCCATGTGGTGGACTTACCACCCCTCTTGACCTCCACGATGAGGAGGACATGGGCTAACTCCATGCCCACCATGGGGGCGAAGGCGTCGTCGTAGTCGATCCCCTCCTGCTAGACAAAGCCGCGTGCTACCAACCGCGCCTTGTGCTTGATCACCGCGCCCAACTCACCCTTCTTGAGTTTGAACACCCACTTCAGGGTGATGGAGCGTTGGCCATCCGATAGTGGCACTAGCTCCCAGGTGCGGTAGTTCTTGATGGACTTGAGCTCCTGCTCCATCATCACCCGCCACGCTGGATCACCCTACGCCTCGCCAAAGATAAGTGGTCGGCTCACCGGCGCATCGATGTAGATGAGCCGAAGTCCCTCAAGTATGGTGGAGATCGCTCTTGCGATGTTTGCCATCGTCGGCGGTATCGAGGATGTTTGCCAGGCGCCTCGGGCGGTCTTCATCATCCAATAGTGGCATCGCGTACTCGACCCCCGGCTACCCTACGTGCGCTGGTGTCATAGCGGGTGAGGTAGAAGACACTGAGGAGGTCGGCTGGTGCACCAGAGTGGTAGGTTGCGGTGCTAGAGAGGTCGGAGCTGCCGCCGATGGACTGCCGACCACCATCGATGGGTTGCCGAGCACGACCGATGGGCTGCCGAGCTCCCCCGGATTTGGTGATGGGAAACGCGGCAAAGCTCATGAAGAGGTCGGCGCTGGTGATGAAGACCCAGACGTCGACGAGGATGCACATAGTGCTCCCTCAAAGACCGCTCCCAGAGCACCGCCGCCACCCACGTCCATCCTCCCATCATCAAACATGATGTCATGATGCACCATGTGCGTGCACGCACAGTGTCGCCGAGTTGAGCATGCAGTAGGCCTTAGCCCCCTCTTCCTAGCCGATGAAGACCCTTGGCGAGCTGTGATGGTCGAGCTTGTCGACGTGGATCACTCTCCTTGACGAAGGTGAGGAAGTCTAAAGACGCGCAGGTAGCTGACCGCCGGCTTGCGCCCGTGCTAGGACTCATACGGCTTCTTACCATAAAGAGCACTGGTCGGCGAGTGGTTGAGCAGGTGTACGGCGGTCATCACAGCCTCCCCCCAGTAGACCGTCGGCATACCGCACTGCTTGAGCAGGACACGTGCCGCTTCCACCACCGTCTGATTGCAACGTTCGACCATGTTGTTCTGCTGCGTTGAGTATGGAGCGGAGTAGTGGCGCTGAATCCCCTCGTCAACGTAATACGCTATGAACTCGGCCACCGTGAGCTCCCCACCATTGTCCGAGCGGAGCACCCAGAGTTTGTGGCTGCACTCCTTCTCCATGGCTGCCTAATGGCGCTTGATGGCGCCTGCAGCTGCTGCCTTGGAATCAAGCAACACGGCCCACATGTAGTATGTGGCATCGTCGACGAGTAGTAGGAAGTAGCGCCGACCTCTAGGAGTGGCCGATGACACTGGACCGCAGAGGTTGCCGTGCACTAGCTCGAGTTGCTCGGTGATGCGGTAGGAGGCTTGACGCGGGAAGGGCCGGCGCTTCAGCTTAGTCACCACACAAGTGTTGCAGAGCTGCTCAACATGGTCGACGCAAGGCATGTCACGGACCATCTCCTCCTTGTCGAGCTATTTTAGGGCCTCAAAGTGAAGATGCCTGAAATGCTCGGCCAGCGCCACACCTCATCCTCCCGACGCGTGGCAAGGCAAAGGGGGTGCGCCACCTGCACATGAAGCATGTAAAGGTGGTTGCTTCCCCGGTTTACCTTGGCGTGAAGGCGGTGGCTTCTATCCTAGATGCGTAGCACGCCGTCCTCGATCTCCACCCCTAAGCCATTCTCATCTAGTTGTCCGATGCTGAGGATGGAGTTCCTCAAGGCCGAGATGTAGTACACACGGTGAGGAGGCGGTGCTCCCCATCTTGGCCTTGAAGATGATCGAGCTGACTCCCTTGATCTCGACGAAGCCCTTCACACCGGAGTCCAGGTCGGAGAAAAACTCACGATGACCAGTCATGTGGTGCGTGGCACCGGTGTCGAGGTACTAGCCGTTGATCTTGTCATCGTCAACGCCTTTGCCAAGGAAGAGGTGGGCGCGCGGTTCATCGAGGTGGAGATGTGCGGAGCCGGCCAATACAGAAAGGTGAAAGCTTGGACCTTTCACCCTCCCTACTTCTTCTTTGCGGCTCGATGCACCCGTGCACCAGGAGCAGAGCAGCATCCTCCTCCCCTGCTTGCGCGATGTGAGCCTACCCACCACGGCGTAGAGGAAGGCGGCAATCCTTGACCTAGTGGCCCGACCTACCGCAGTTGTTGCAGGTGTCATCTCAGGTCATCTTGCGCTCGCCAGCGGCGCCGCCATCAGCGCCTGCCTGAGCCCGAGGCCCAACCTGCTCCTTCTTCTTCTTTGTCGCCGCGTGGTCACCGGCGACGCTCCTTGGAGGAACCGGATGGTCTAGATCCTTCCTCCTCCTTCTTCTTCTCAAAGGCGCACCACTGCTCCATCATGTACAGTAGCTTGCCTCCAACAGCACTCGACTCGGTGTGAGGTCCCTCTTCGTGGTCCTACACCACCTTGAGCCTCCCGGTCACATCCTCGATGGTGAGCTACTCGAAGTTGAGAGAGTCTCAATCAACACGATGATCTATGTGTGTACTTCTTCGGCATGCAGCGGAGGAATTTCTCCACCGCGCACTCCTCCATGAGGTAGGTGTCGCCCTTACACGCCATCTGCTCCATTAGGTTGGTCAGGCGAAGGGCAAAGTCCTCGACTTGCTGACCTGGCTGAAAGATGAGGCCTTCCCACTCCCTTCGGAGGCGCTGCAATGTCACCCGGCGCACGCGATCTCCCACGCTAGCTTCGCCTTGGCCTTGTTGGTGAGAGAGGTGCCAAGCTCGGTGGGGACGGTGGTGCATAGGGCCTCCAGCGCTTTCAGCGATCATCGTCATAGCTGATGCCGCCGATGTGTACCGCCTCCCACAGCCGTCGGGCCTACAACTTGACCATCATCAGCAAGCTCCACTCGTGGTAGTTCAACTTGGTGAGCATCGGTCGTGGCGTTCTTGCTCCAGAGTCATGGTAGACCATCTGCAGCACCGGGGAGCGCCCGCGGCAACCACGACGCCAGTCTGGTGACGGCGACTGGCGACAGCGCCCGATCGGACTACGTAATCCTCCTCTCGCTGGCTCCAGCTCCTCCCGCTCCATCTCAAGCGCAGGCACATGCCAAGAACCACCAGCTGACTGCTCTGCGCTGCAGCCACGCCTCTCACGACAAGAAGGCATGTCGCGTAGTCTTCGGCTCTGGCTCCTGCTGCATCACCACCGAGGTTGATCACCGCACCGGTGGCAGCGCGCGCTCTCACGATCTGGCTCTTGGTGGACATGGCGCTTGCTCACTAGAACCCTAAGGCTCTCATATCAATTGTTGGCCCAAATAGATCTTAGATTCAGATTTGGGAACTACCAGAGGCGTTTAGCCCTTGGCCGCTTGGATTGAAATGAAATGCAATGGCTTGTTTTTTACAATAAGACTCTCTTGCCCTTTATAGGCAAAGAGGACTCGCACTTGCTACAGCATATTCTAACCACTAAAGTGGATATTGAGCATGTTACTAACACTAGGCTTGGAAGCTAAGAGAAAGTAAAAGTGCAGGAAAAGTAAGATACACGTGCTTTAGCACTGGGCTTATCTATCATTGTTTACTTATTTCTCTACTAGTCCGTGCGGTGGGCAGACTCCATACAATTTCATTTTGCTCAATGAAGAATCTATACACCATTTTCACCCCGGCAGCAAAGTTCACTTGAGTTGGATACTTAGCATCTTAATAAAATGTGGACACTAACAGATCCAAAGCTAGCATACTATAGCATCCAATCCACTGAAGAAAACATTTAAGAAGAAAACATAATCTACAAATACTTGAGATAATTTTTAATCTAATTCATAAGTAGGAAATATACACTAGCCACTAGCAAGTCCATCCACATGAAGCCCACCTATGAAGTAGCCGCGACTACGAGAAGTAGGCTGGACCGATCGTTGCCGGAAGGCCCATGCATCATGCTTATAACATCAGGTGTCCCCAACCCCAACTAGCAGCGAGAGTTTTCAGAATCTATTACCCTTCAATCCGCACAGACAGAATCTCCAATATGCGGAGCGGTGGGAGAGGGGAGAGATTGACAGGAAAGGAGAGGAGGATTTCGCGCACCGGTAAAGAAGATGCCGGTGACGTGGCGGCAGGCCGTGTTGGTGCCCGGCAAACTGGGTGCGTTTCCCTCCCCGGATGCAACAGCTCCTAGAGTTAGAGACAGAGAAGAAGGCGTCCGTAGGCGCGGAGTCGTCCTCGCGGTCGGCGTGGGAGAGAGAGAAGCCGGGGCAGGTATGACCGTGGATCTGGTGATGTCGCCAGACGCATGTCGCCGTCGGCTAGATGGCCTCCACTGTGTTACCCCACACCAACAGGCCACAGGCCATAGCTCAGCTCTAGTGCTCTTCCGTCCGACTCGTGCCGTCGCGTGGTGTGGCCGGGCCAGACCACTGGGCCCATCTTTTTGTCTTGGCTGCCATGCGGTTTGTGGAAGAAATGAAAGGGGAAAAAAGCCCTCCTAAACCCCTAACTATTGGACATCCAAACCTAAAATGGGTAGCAAGAGACCCAAAATCAGCCTCCAACAGAGTACCTGTACTGGAGACCTATTTTGGGTTGCCTGAGAGGCACAATCCAAATATGGGCATCCTTTCTCCTAGAAATCCATTTGCAGAAAGGATTCTCTTTAGGGTCTTGTTGTTGGAGAGGATACCGAATAAGTATTAAACATTTTGCTTGTAGCGCTACCCAAAGGACGAATGGGTCTTGTATTTTGGGTGTTATTGTTGGAGATAGCCTAAACCCCTAACTATTGGCCTATTTGCAGCTAGCGCCTGGATGTGCGTACGTAGCCCCCCGTATTATCCTGCACCGCATCTCACGACATGAGTCCGCATCCTATCCGTGCCCCCCATGCCGCATGCCGCACCACGCCCATCCCATGCTCCAACAGCCATCCCGCGCCCCGTGCCCATCCCCAGGCCCCACATGGGTCCCAGTCACCTGCCCCACTTGCGAATGCGTGCCGCGGAGGCGTCTATCGGCCTCAGGCATCCGCATGGTGACCCACAGCGGCACCCCAAGTAGCAGCAGCAGGGCGGTTGCGGCAGATGAAACATATGCTCTCCCAGATCTACTTTTAAAACATCCAGATGAAACACTTGCAACATACATCTGAAACAGATGAAACACTTGAAATATATGCTTGAAACATGGGTGTATAGCCAGCAAACACATGCAACATCGATATCTACTTTAGCAACATCTAGAAAAAAAACACTTACAACATGAGTTTGAAATATGTGAAACGCTTGAAAACAAACGTTTGAAATATGCGTTAGATGCATCTATACTCTTGATGTGACGAGATGTTACAACTACAAATGAGTTGTACATGAATTAATTTCTGGTATGATGATTGATGGAGTCCACATTTTTCCTCTATCATCACTCAGGAGCAGAAAATTTCTACAACCAGCAATACTGATAAAACTAGTTGATATTGAGATTATGCAGTTTGCAACCAGTACTGATGAGCCAAGAGCGGTTCATGTTGTGCTCGAGAAGGCGAATCCAGTCCCTTGCAATGCATCCTCAATGACCTTGTCCAGCCTCTACGCCATCTTCGGCGTCATGTGATTGCTCCAGTCCCCGGCAACTCCTTTCCTGAAGAAGCTTTCGTTCTTGGTCCCCAACCTAGTGCTTCCATTTCTGTTCACCTCCATGTTCCTCAGCTTCCCCAGGCTACACAGCTCCACGATGGCGCTCACCACCCCGTCCTCCTCCTCCTCCCCAGAAAACTCGCAGCCCATGAACTTCGCTAGCTTCCTAACGTGCGCCTCAGGCTCAAGCAACATCTCCTCGTACCTAGGAACAGCACCCTTTCAGGCCTCCTCAAGCTCTCCTCCCAGTACTGGAGGACGTGCAGCCACTGCGGGCCGTCCGGACACCGGCTATCGCAGAACAGCTCCAATGCCTCCTGGATGGTGAACGACCGGACGTCAAGTCCCCTCGCCGCCGCCGCCTTCCTCGTGAACAGCCAGTAGGAGACCAGCGCATCCTTGGGTTCCCGGCAGACGTACACGATCCGGCACCCCAAGCGCTCCCCGTCCTCGTTGATGCTGTCGGGCAGCAGGGAATAGGGAAGATGCGTAGCGAGCACGCGCGGGGACGGGAGCGCCTCGAACTCGTCCTTGTTCCTGTCGTTGAGTTCGATCCCGAGGAACCGGACGCACTCGTGGGGGCTGCGATGGCGCATCGGGTGGTCGCCGTCGGACGGCGGGTGCGTGGAACGCTTCAGCGTCGCGAAGGCGAGCGCCTTGAGCCAGGTGGTGCCGGACTTGGGGAAGCTCGCGAGGATCACATCGGTGGGCCTTGGCACGAAGCAGGAATGGACGGCTGGCAAGCCCTCCTTCGCTGTGACCTCGGGCAACCAGAAGCCGCCGGCGTAACGGCGGAGCGCGAATGGTGGCCACCTGGTCTTGAGGGGCGGCGCCGAAGGGATGATCCCGACTACGTCGGCGTGAGGCGTCATCACCAGTGTCGCGCCTTCTTGTGCGTCATCCTCTGGCTGTCTGGAATCCATCGTGCGTGCTACCGATATGGATTTCACGAAACGTCAGTTGAAGTATGTGTCCAGTTTGCTTGTTGCGGCCTGCATGAAGATGTAAGTGTACCTCAAAAGAGATGTAACAACAAAACCTGTACGGGAAACTTAAGATATAGTAGTGTTGACAACAAAAATATGACTAGGAAGTCAAAACATAGACCGATAAATGAAATATAATTGAAAAAGCATCAAAACATAGAAATGAAAATTTGCATCAAAAAGTCCAAATTTGGAAAGTCCAGCCAGCCCAAACCGGTTTAGGCCGGTTTTGTCGTGGATGTTTCGGACGAAAAACGAATGTCAAAACTGCATAGTAGCCGACTTGCTAGTCAACAAGTAGTACATGCAGTCTGCATCTGTGGAGCTAATCACGACCATGCATGGTTAATTTATTATGAGAAAAAATATTATTCCTGAAAAAACGTCTCGCCAACGAAGAATGTGCTCCATGTCCTCCGTGTCTACAACTCCCAATCGTTGGCCAGAAAGAAAGGTGGGAGATCGAGGGGAGACTAGGCTGGGCTCGCAGACATCTCACCTTCCATGTTTATGGGAAAAAAAGATTTGTTGTGAGGGAAAGATATTTGCGCGCCTTATAAGCCAAACAAAAACACGGCGACGACATGGATGGAGGAAAGGCAGGTCCTGTCGGCGGTCGGCGAAGAACTTCATGGCGTTTTCTAATGATATATATAATCATATATATTAATCTGCAGATCTCAGCATTGGGAAAAAAGACGAGGGGAAAGATTAAGCACCCGGGAAGATACAGCGACCTCGCGGTCCGCGTCGGGGAAATATTGGTATACCCTTATATATATGGCATACGCCACTTTCAGTTCCCACGATAGCGCCGTCGCCGGTCGCCGAAATATCGCCGCCACGCCCAGGGCCCGGCCATTCTCTTTTTCTATTCTGCCTGCGAGGCTGCGACCGTCTTCTTCTGGCCAGTGGATTAATTCGTCAGGCCCAATTGGCCTTGTCCTTTCGGCATCCACGCACGCCATTCCGCTATTTTCCTTGTTCCTTCACTGGCCAAGAACATGCATGTACTTTCTTCATTCGAGAATGATAATCTTAAAAAGTATTTCGAATACAAAACTATTAATATAAATTTTGTATCCTAAGCTTCTATATAATTTGACTAATTACGGATAAAAATTTGTAAAATTTCATTTTTTTTCCTTATACAAAACACGCTTATCATTCTGGATGGAGGGAGCAAATTGTAGCGGGTACAAAAACTTGTTGCGTGATTACTTAGGCACGCCCATGCTAGCTATAACGAGCTAGCCATCTTTGTTGGTTTTTATTGGACTTCGGTCAACCTTATTTCAATTAAATCAAATAAAATTTATAAGGTCCATAAGCCTATGTGCAATAAAGTACTATCCCCATATGGGAAATTAACTGAATATTGTTTCATCTTAAATAAATGGCTATTATGTATATTATGTGCATTTGGTATGAGGTTAAGAAAGGTGGAAAGCAAGCTGCACGGTGGCGCCAAGTCATGAGTTCGTATCATGGAAGTGCAGTACATAAGTATTTAGATAGTAAATTATTTTAAGTAATTTTTAGAGTTTGTTATTATTTTAAAAATACTTGTAATAAGACTTTTAAAATTTATTTGTCTTATGTTTTGGTAAATTATATATCTACACAAGGACATGCTACATATAGGCCTTGTTTGGTAGAGCTCCGTTCAACTTCGGTTTCAACTCTTTCATGCACTAGAGCACGGAGCTATTTTTTTCTCTTAAAATGAATCAGTATTCATTGAAATCGCTATTTTTTGTTCTATTGGTTCTAGCTCCTCCGTGTATTGTAGCAAGAAATCGGAGATGTTTGTTGATGTGTCAAACGAGATTATATTGCTAATAAAAGAATATACTGAACTGGACCATCCTAGACTAAAATCCAGGTTATGCCACTGTGCAGAGGGTATCAAGGAAAGCATAAAGTCACTATGACCATATGCTGAAAATTGTGTGGTGTTGTATTTGCATGTTCACCTGGTGGACATAGTTAACCGAGGGCTAAGCAATTCTTTATACATGAGACACGTGAAGGGTGGATCAAGCACATGATGGAAACATATTCTCGAAAAATGGATTAGTACGCCGTTTCTCCCGGCGAATACGCGCGGCACAGGGTGAAGGCAATACAAATCGATGGGCTCAAAGAAACAATAACTAAAGAGAGAGCCGTCATGGGCCGAAATCACATTTGTATGGGCCAGAAAAGAAAAAGTCCACCATACCTCCTTTAAATTTCGCGAAAGTCCGTTTTTACTCCCTAAACTCCAAAACCGAACAAAACACCTTCCTCAACTTTTAAAACCGTTCATCTTACCTCCCTGGCCCGGTTCTAAGCGGTTTTAAAGACGGTTTTGTCTTTTTCTTTTTTATTTATTTTGCCTAAATTTTTGAAAAATCATAGTAAATCACATAAAAATCATAAAATGGAAAAAATCCAATTTTCTTGGACTCTACATGAGTAGATCTACACAGTGAATATATAATATGGTATACCTTAGCACAAAGTTTTTGTTGTATCTTTAGATCTATGCTTTTGTGTAATTAAATAGAATAATTCATAGCTGCAGTTTTTATGATCCAATTGTGGTGAAATTTTTATGGTGGGATAATTAGTATATGCTTAAACTGTAGTAAAAAATTTCATACTCATTGGATCATGTATAATTTAGTTATAAATTTTATTTAGGTTTATGCTTGTTAAATATAAATAAATCTATAACTAAGCTATATATGATCTAATGAGTATGAAATTTTTGCTACAGTTCAATCATACAACAATTAGCCCACCATGAAAAGTTCATCATAATTGGACCATAGAACTGCAGCTATGAATTATTTCAATTAATTACATAAAAGGATAGATCTAAAACCACAACAAAAACTTTGTACTAAAGCATACTATATTATATGTTTACTATATAGATCTACTCATGTGGAGTCCAATAAAATTAGATTTTTCATTTTATGATTTTTTCTATGGTTTACTATGATTTTTCAAAGATTTAGCCAAAATAAATAAAAAAGATAAAGATAAAAACCGCTTTCAAAACTGCTTATAACATGGTCAGGGAGGTAAGGTGAATGGTTTTAAAAGTTGAGGGAGGTGTTTTGCTCGGTTTTAAAATTCAGGGAGGAAAAGTGAACTTTCACGAAAGTTGATAGAGGTAATGTGGACTTTTTCTGGCCAGAAATGACTAACCGCACCGAACGAACAGCAGCGGAAACAAATCAACTGGGCCTGGGAGTCGTCGGAAACAAATCAGTTCGACTTATCAGTTATGGTATAATATTTTTCTCTTATACTAAAATAGCATAATCCGCCGTAGAAACCATTAGCCGTTTTTTCTAGAAGAAATAACACACTCCATCTACGACCTGGTACAGTCTGCCCCGTCCTGCCATTTTTTTCCCCGAAATAGCACACCACTCTTGGCCTCCTTGCCGACGAACGAATCGATTCCCCGAGCCCACTCCATCATTTTTGACGAGACGAGTGCCTGAGATGCGGAGGACGGGTGAGCGAGCATTTTTCCCCCTCCAGTCTATCATCATCATCCCGGAGAAAAGAGCAGATGCTCATGCATGTCACGCGTGATGCCATGCTGGGGTAAGCAAGCCTCTTCTTCCTTTCGGAATTTGGAACCGACTCCACATAACACCGCAGAAATTTTTTTATTTTTAACACTTTTTTAAACTAATTTTAAATCTAACACTGTTTTAATTTTTTTTCTCTAAAACTAACACTTTTGGCCGCGCTTATTTTTCTGGTGCGGCGAAACACCTGTGCCGCGCCATATATGGTGGCACGGCGATGGGATGACGTGGCGATGACCGGGGCGTTGACCGGTGACGTGGCAGGTTTTGTCGCGCCACCGATCTTGGCGCGGCAGTGCCGCGCCATCCCTAACAGCGCGGCTGTTCCAGGTAAATATCGCCCGCGAGCCGCCCTCCCTCTGTCTGCCCGCCCGCCCGCCCGCTGGTTGCTGGATCTTTCTTGACATACTACGCCAGTCGTGGGATAACATAGCGGCGTACAGCTGGGGCAGCGCAGTCCTTGTATGGACGTATCGACAGCTATGCGTTGCCTGTTGTCGCATCTCAGGGTATGCAAATCTTGGAGGTTGCTCCTACCTACTTTCGGTTTGGTGTTGGGAACGATGGCTTGTTGGAAGGCCCCTTGTTACTAGTTTCCCTGTAAATATTTCGGTTCACTATATTCTTCGAGACAGTTACATATAATGAAATTATTATTGGCTAATTTATTATCGTGTTCAATACAGCATTAGAACGGGCAGGATACACTCCCTACAGCTCTGTATATTTAGACACAAGTAGAGTTAGTTAGAGGGAGTGCGAGGCACAAGTACAGGGAGTACACGAACTGTCTCGACGTCCTGACACAGCACCAGATTACACTCTCTTTACTATCATACATGTGTCTTGTTCGATGTACACTATATAACAACCTAACTCAATTACGAAATGTGTATTGGTGTCCTTGGGATGCTCCGAAGCTCCAAGACTATCTAAGTCCTGTCACTAGGGATAAGCCAGACGAGTATCGCTGCAACATCCCTCTTATTTTATTCCACGTGGTCGAGATTCACTTGCCCATCAGAGTTTACAGGCAGTTTGGAAGAATGACAGGCTACCCACCACCGCTTTACTCCATCAACCAAGAATTGCACGGGTGCGTTATCGATTAATAACAAAGCTACAATTCAGAAGTGTGTATGGTACAACTAACAATAATTTTGTTGCAGATATGACTACAGGAAGAGATATAGGACAAAGGATTGGCGTGTGACACACAACGCGTACATCCAGTGGTGGCAGACCAGGGACCGGCAGCCGGTCCATGTGGGTCCCCCACACGACTAGTACACCTTCGACGAGTACCTGCGGTGGCTTACAGGTCTACGAGGACACATATCA